AAAAACCTTACGTTTATTTATATCGATAACAACCTTTATCTCCAACAGTATTTTTTTATACTTTCATTTAATTTATATGTGCAATAAAATTGTATGTATTTTGTGAAGTGCCTATCGCACAATTTGCTAAAGTTCATTGTTGAACGCACTACCGGCTCATATTAACGCCTAGCTCTAAAGTCAACCAGCAAAAATGTCACAACGTTCGATTTTCCTACTTTCCTCTTCCCGTGTTCATGGCCATGAGTTTTTGGAGCACGCAAAGGAACAATTAATTGATTTTCTCTCAAAGTAAGTCATAATTGTTATGTATATCAAAAGTAAAGTATTAACCCAAAGCTTCACATTTGTAGACGCAATGTAAAAACGGTGCTCTTCGTACCATACGCCCAAAAGGATCACAATAAATATACGGAACTTGTTGACAAGACACTGTCACCCTGGGGTTATCAAGTTGAAGGTTTGCACACTAAGCCGAATCCCATACAGGCTGTGCTACAAGCAGAGGCTCTCTTCATTGGTGGTGGCAATACGTTTGTACTACTGAAAGCGCTCTACGATCAAAATTTAATCTCAATAATACGCGAACGTGTGCTGCAAAAAGGTGTGCCCTATGTAGGTTCGAGTGCTGGCACAAATGTGGCAACGCTTTCTATACATACAACAAATGATATGCCAGTGGCTTTTCCGCCAACATATGATGCCTTACGTCTGGTGCCGTTCAACATTAATCCTCATTACTTGGATCCAGATGCATTGACACTTCACAAAGGCGAGACGCGTGATGAACGTATAAATGAATTTATAGATTACCACCAATTACCGGTTTTGGGTTTGCGCGAAGGCACAGCATTGTTGGTGGAGGGCGATAAGGCCACTCTAGTAGGAGATCGTAATGCGAAGTTGTTTTTGCCGTAAGTAAAGTAAAGTTATTTATTTGATAAAAAGTGGAAGTGATATAAGAAAGGGGTACGCATAAGTAATTCTTATCAGCGGCCATTACATCAAAATTTCAAGTGAAAACAATATTTCACCCCTATGCCAGAAGCATGAATGTGCAAATTTATCAGTTTTGAGTTAACCTTTAGATGTTCTATGTTATACCAAAACCAAGAATACCAGGCGTGCACTTAAAACACATATTTTACAATTTCACTTGCATAAATGTAGTTAAGTCTCGTAAAAAAAAACTTTCAAAGTTGATTTCTCAAATTCTAATTTTTACACATTCGTGGTTCTGGCATACAGGCGACGATTTGTATATTTTCTTATATTTTTTACAACTTTAGTTTTGCTCTTAACGATTTCTTTTCTTTTTTTTCTAGAAATAAACTGCCAGTCGAATTCGCACCAAAAGCTGACCTCAGTTTTTTACTAAATAGATCTTAATAAAGTGAAACATTTACTACAAAAGGCGCTGATTAATTGCGGGTAAAATTTTTAAAATTGAAAATTATGAACAATAGTTAAACTGTTGCTAGAAATTTTAAAAATTAAAAAGCATTTAGTAAATTGATCGAAGTTACACACACACACAAATGCATATATATATATGGTGCTTAATATGGTTATTATGACTGTTATTCTTGTGTAAGCTTTTATAAATAAATATACAGTATCGGTCATATCTATAGCACGCCATTTCAAGGTGATATTGTGTGTCCCTTATGTTTTATTATATATTTTTAAGAATTTTCCATTCAAATATAGTACATTCTCAGACAAACCCCATATAAACCCAAGTTTAACAATTTGTAGAAAACTACAAAAAAGTGCAACAAATTTTCACCTAAATTTCAAACTTTTTTCTCGGAGTGTTTTTGGAGTTTTTTTTAGTACACAGTTGTTTAGCCCCTTCAATTTTAGTCTGATAATATGCAAGTTTCAAGTGGCTAAAAGTTACCGTTAAGTTTTTATTTTTTTCATATTGTTTACTTTATTCATATTGTTTTGTTTTTTTTTACACACCTTTCCTCTTTCAAAAATATACAATTTCATAAAATTTCAATGTCTATTTATCATATTGCTCAAGTGTTAGACGATCTAGAGTCCATACGCATAAGTAGCCCATTACGCCCATTTGGGTACTTAATGTTGACATTATAGCCAATGTTTATATGTAAATTAAAAAATTGTTTAAAATGCTATAATCAAAAAAAAAATAAATAAAAAGAAAACTGTTTACTTATTTTTCTTTGTTTTTTATACGTTGCACATTTAAGTAAAAAAGGTACAATTAAAGACCATAATAAAACGGAAGAAATACATTTTTTTCCTTAATTTTCGTTAAAGGTTTCCAGGATACAGCACTTTTAAGAAAGGTATGTATGACGTTTTCTTAAAATTTAAGTCCGCGTGTAAATAGGCAACTCTACGTCATATCGGCAAAATATGCTGCACGTATATTCATGTCACCTAGACCTTCAATCTCTTCAACTTTCATCCAAGTCCTGAGAATTCGCGCCCAGAGGTGGCCGCGGTGACATGAAATGCCTCACTGCAATGAAACTGAGGTTGTGGTGCTATCCATAATTGACCCATTAATAACTTTTCCATACGCACAAGGATGCTACATAACTTAACAAGTGGATACAATTTCTAAGCAATTTCTTGTATTGATTTATAAAAATCCGCTTGAAAACAAAGCATATTGATATTTTCTTCCTTTCCAATAAACTCGGTTCAAGAAGACAAATGATGTGTCTATTTAAGTGAAGCGTGGTGCAAGTGGTGGCTGCTGGCAGTATACTTAAATCATTTCCCTTGTACTTTGTAATAAAATAAAATTCGTATTATAAATTTTATATTTTTTTTTAAACATTAAAAATTTGTTTTTATTTTTAGACACTTCAATTATTCTAAATATACATAACTGATCATGCATACACATATAAGTGTTGTACATATACATATATGTTAGTGTTTGGCCGAGCTTCTCCTCCGATTTCTGGCGTGCGCCATGATGTTGCCACACAAAGGGGAGGGACCTAAGGTTTTACGCCGACTCCGAACGACGATTGTATGAGAAGCTGTTTTTCATGGCAGAAATACACTCGGAGGTTTGTCATTGCCTGCCGAGGGGCGACTGCTGTTAATAAAAAACCTTTTTTCTATATTTTTTTTGCGACATTGCTTTGACCATGGCTTGAACCCAGGCCCTACGGAGTGGAAGCGCGCACTGCTTACCAATACACCACAGCGGCCGCTACTTACTTACTTATCACTTACTGATCATTTTAAAATTTCTCTTTGTTTCTACATTTGCACATACATACATAGTAGATGCAAATACTCTTATACATATGTATGTATATTGGATTCTAGTCAATTTCGTTTTTAGCTGGAACATAAATTTACATACAGCTACCCTATAGTAATAACATAATACTTGAAATCTTTCGTTGCTAATTTTCTCCTAAAGTAAGAATTAACACTAGGCTCATCAATTTATTAGAAATTTAAAAGCTTTGGCACCTTTTAATCATGCATAGGTAGAAATATTTATATGTATGTACATAACTATGTATGTATATTAGATATTAAAACTAATTACTATACGTCTATTTACAAATTCTTTTTGTTTCTTTTTTTTGTAGTTTTAAATGGAAAATATGAAATATTTAGATAGAAAGAAGCTAACTAAGCTCCACTTAAATAGATTGGAGAGATTTTCTGCACCCAAGCAATAGACTACAAATACATGCATACATACGTATAAATAGCTCGCTCCCTTTCTTTTAAATAAGGCATGAACTTCTTTTACGTATTTACTTTTAAATATACAAAAAGTTCAAAAATAAAAATAAATTTAACATTTTGTGGCTCGTGAAACTAAATACATGGCAGTCATGGCGAGATGAACATACTACATACATACACAGATACATAAGGTATACTTAAAACACTGATGATAACAAATACAGGGCCCTCACTCTGTAGTTCGAATCGAAAAGAAGTTCTATACGAACGCTTAACTCTTTTATAGTCCCAATCGTTCGAATTCGAACAAATTTATTATTGATTCGAACTACAGAGTAAGGGCCCAGGTTTCATATAGTAACTAAACACCAAATTAATTTAAAATCGCTACTTATATACATATATACGTATTTAAAAATTTTCATTTGGAAATGACAAGTTTGGGCATTTCTATGTACTTTGTTGATGTACATACATAGACAAAAACACTTTAAAACAGCCTTAAGTATTACTTACAAATTATATACTAGCTATTCTAGGACTATTGTACATGCACATAAGAAGTCATTTCGTTACATTCAATCGATAGGAATCAGCTGCGGCTCAGCCGGTCGTCTTAAAACTATAAAAATAAATAAATTTAACTTAAAACAAAAACTACTTAGTTATAGATAATACAAATGTACACGCGTCGTTTGTGCGTTTGTATGCAAGTATTTTGGCAAAATAGACTAATATACAAAAGTAGTATCTTTTTTGTTTTTTTTTTGCTTTTTTTTTGCAAAACAGCATAAAATCTCCTTAAATGACAGGTTTGCAGGATTTAAACTAATATTTACAATATCATGCAAATTTGAGCATTAAAAAGTTAACGTGCATCATCCGGCACTCGGCTAACCAGTTCAGCAGTTATACTGCGTTGTAGTCAAGTGCGGCGTCAAATGCACTAGAGAGATGAGTTTACTTCACGCATCTAATAATAGTCAAGTATCGATTGTTTTTTTTTTTTTTTTGTCAAACAATTCTTTTGTGCAAAGGTTCGCGCTTTGTGTAAATTATTTGTGCAGTATACTGCGATCTTCGAAACGTATAATGGCATCACCTATTTGTTTTCTCGATGCTAAGTGTATACATTTTCGCCTTTGCATGTCAGCAGCAGTGTCGGCCGTCGTATCACTCTCAGGCTGCGCAGCATCATATCGCTGGGGTATTTCATTGGATATATGGTATAATTTGTTGTACTCTCGCAATGCAGGACATTTTAGAATATCACCACCGCTATTGGTATGACTCCGTATCGCAATACCGTAACGCAAATTCGGTTCAGTGCCGCGCAGGATGTGCACCGGCAGTTTTGAAGCTACAAACATATCCAAGATGGTGGTTATTGTTTGATCAGTGCGGGCAAGAAGCTGCTCAATGTCATTGTCGGAGCGTGTTATTGGCAAAGTTGATTCAATCATCTTACGTGCTGAAATGGGGAATATAAGTAAGTGTGTATGTGAATAGTTATAAATATTAAAAAAGTAAACATTACAAATAAGTACATATGTATAGATCATTCACTTGAACGCAATCGCATCACTCAGAGAAAAATCACGTCATGTCAATGTAACAACATTTTAATGATGGCAGTTGGGCTAACGGGAAATAGCGCTTTAAATGAATTGCTTTCGATTGGTTCCCACGACAGTTGGGTCTACATAACCGGAACGACCCAGACTTACTATGTATATACATATATCTGGCCAAGGACTGTCACTCCAGCGTTGCAACAGCAACAATTGCTTTTATTTCTTATGAAACTAGATTTGATTAAAGTAAATTATATTACATAACGTTAACTCAGACGATACACTACCAAAGCAGACGAAATCAGATCATGCCATACTTGTAAAATAAATATATTTCAATAAAAATTAACCAACGCCAGATCCCAGAAGATGCAACAAAAATTAATATGATATTCATCAGGTGATATGGTTTCATTACAGATGATCGGTAATCACGTCAAATACATATGTAATAACATCGCCCATGTTAAATTTCAACATCTCACATGAAATCTCACTTGATCACATAACAGCACACCGCAATTAGAAGTAATACTCTTGTGATAGAATAACATTAGTTGATATCCAAATTTACAAATTTTTACTTCACACTGCACATATCACATGATAAAACGTCACGTCAATTATAGACAATCAAGCCAATTTTAAGTCAAATATCTTCACATCACGCTTGACAAATTTCATCACCTCGCGTCATATTAAAACACAATAGCTCTGATCCAGTACTCCAAGAACTTACAGGATTTTACACGAACTTGCAGGAAGTTGCAGGAAAAATGTTCCCGTACTCCAAAATCCTATAAATGAGAGCGACTTTTGGAGAGTTGTGAAGAGAATGAAGTTGCAAGATTTTACCCGAACTTTTTCTTCTGGTAAAATCATGAAAAGTGTCAAGCAATCACTGGTTGACGTTTTTACAGGAAAAATGTTTTTTTTTTTGTTCCCGTACTTTTTGTTGTTACTCACTTTTTACTCTCACTTCAGAGAGTAATTTTGCTGTTTGACAGTTTTACAGGATTTTTCACGAAAAGTATTGGATCAGAGCTAATACATAACATTCAAACACATGACACTAGAAATAAGAAAAAAACTCGTGTGATGGTTTGCCTGTTCATGTAGCCAAAAGTTATCAAAAACTATCTAGTGAACACAAAATGTATCCAAAAAACTTGCAAAGTAGCAGAAATTGAGAGAGCAAAATGACAGTTCGCTAGGAGGAGAAGCTGCAAATTTTTACTGGACCAATTTTTGCCCGTAAAAACTTGCAAGCGAGAAAACAGCTGATCGCAAGTTGCAGGGTGCAATAGAAACTTATAAGGAAATTATTTCTGGGGTTTTTATAGTTGAAATTGAAAGAAAAATATATTGTTTTATTAAGAAATTGCTACAAATAAACCACAAACTTATCAGCTGTTCATGAAACATTCAAATTGTTACTGGTTTTGTCTTCACATACTTTTTGGATATTTTTCTCTATGACAGCAAATTCTCAGAAATTAAGTTATTGAAGAGTTGCTGGCAAGTTACTGGCTAATTTTTACATGAACAAACCTAGTAGTGCATCAAATGATATATGTACATATAATCACGCCAGGTCAAATGAAGCAAATCAAAAAAAATAAAAATACTTCACATTCTACGAGTAAAATTTCATCACCTCGCATCGCATGGCATCGTATCACATCACATCACGTCACATATCATAACATCACTCCACGCATCAAAGATGAAATCACAACTCGCGTGATCGTATCACATCGGATGATATAATTTCATGGCAAATGATACTTAATAATAATATTTACATCACATCGCCTAAGTCAAATAACATCACTTCGCGACACATCACACTGCAACACATAACATCATATTACATTACATAACCCACAACACAAATGACACTCTCATGTAATAACATTAGATCAGAAGATACACCGCATCGCCGACATCAAATTAGATTACCTAGCGCCACATCACATCGCCTCACACCACATTTCATACCATCACTTCAGATCACATTACATAACATCACATCACAGATGAAAATACGACTAGAGTGTTAGATAGTGTGCCACCAAGTGATATCATTTCATAACAGTTGATACCTGATCAAGTTACACGATATGACGTCACATCAGATATATCAAACTTAAAAGCTCGCGTCACATAACAACACAGTACAAATCATTACATCACATTACACAATAACGTATCGTCACTAGACACGAATAAAGGCGCGAGCTCAAAAGTTGACGGCGAAAAAAGACGCATAAAAAAACTTCAGCTTCAAAGACTCTTAACATACTTCGCCGAAGTTTTTTATAAGCATCTTTTTTCGCAAAATTTTTTCACGCGCCTTTTTTCGCCGTAAAAACACTATCGCGCCTTTATTCGTGTGTAGTGACGGTATGTATCACACTATATAATATCACATCACATGAGATCAACTTCAAGCGAAAAAACTAGTCGATACTTAATTTATTAAAACAATTAAATCAATGCGTTCTAATTAAGATAAAACTTTATGTTATATTTAGATAAAAAAAAAACGAAACATATATCCATGGGCTTGATACCTAACAATGCTGGAATATACGTGGTTATTAAACAATATAGACTAAATATTTTTTCTTTAATGTGATGGGGATTCTTAATCTGGTTCTGGTCTTATTAGCGGCCGTAAATAATCATTTTTATTTTTAGATTATTGAAAGATCGTTGTTTAATTTATCATAAATCAATAATAACACAGCCACAAAAAAATAGGTGACAGGCACGTTTTTTGATGTAAGGTATAAATCCTGACGTGATGGAGCAAAAATAACTTCAGATTCGTGTTCAGCGCATCAAACTACAGAAGGAAGGGATAATATGGTTATCGAACCCGACACTTTTTTGTGTGGCTGTGTATCGTTATATTTTGACGTTTACTTTTTCAATCAATAAGTTATTTTTGTTATTTTAGAATTTTTATTTTTTCGATAGATTTTAACTGTTATAAAGCCCTGAAAAATTAAATATGAAAATAACGCCTATGAGATGATCGAAAAAATAAAAATCTTAAGAAAACGATTAAATTTGTTCGAAAAAATATGAATCCAATTTTAAGCTTAGTATACAGCTATCAATAAAAGCGAAAAATGCATATAAAATAAATTATGATTTTTATTACATATAAAGTTCATAACCGTTACGCTCCCTGATTTTTATCCATTCACACACACAACAACTAAAAGTTTTTCTTAAACTTACGCAAAATGTACATACCTTGCACATAATCTCGACTGTAGAACGATGTTAGATCGTAATTCCATTTGTCAAAATAGCCCGTGCTTTGACTCACATCACATGATTCACATTCTTTGCAAAAGTGAGCCAACCTACATGGATACATCATGAAACCTATTGGTGAAAATATTTGGAAACCCTGAATGGTATTCATGCGAACCTTAAATGATGGAAAGAAAATTGTAAAAATGTGGTATTGAAGCCAATGCCAAACAAATTAATTTACTCTATTCAAAAAATCCGTTTTGAAGTTAATATCTGTGGATGCCATCAACACAAGACTATCCAATCCGATTTTTGGCAGCGCCAAGTCTGCCACAGCAACACTTAAAATTTCATTGCGTCCATATAAGGAGTTGTGCATAATGTCATCAGGTGGTGGTGTGTCACTAACTGCTGACGGCAGACGTATGGACACCCAGGCTATGCGTGAGCCATCGTTTTTGTACTTAGTCGATAGATCTAAAGCGAGTGTTTTCAGATTTTTAAATGGATCGCTTTCACCTTTGCTCATGGAATTGTATCGATATAGGAAAATCTGAAAAAAAAGACAACACACATTCAAAAAAAAAAAAAAAAAAACAAATTGTTTGCGAAACAGTTACAGGCATACATACCAACAGCAAAAATGTATTATCCTGATTTTGCATGCAAATACGCTCATATTCGGCAATAAAATCGACAGCATCCTCTGCTTGATGTTCAAATGTTGGCACCATTATGGCGATCCGTGTGCTTTCGGTGACATATGGCGATGGTATAACCTCAACACGCCCCAGCGGTTTAACAACTTGAAAACTTTTTGTCACCAATTCATCGGAGCGACGTGTGTCACGCAAATTTAAATGGAATTGATAATCCATGCCACGCGTCGCATCAAATTTCCTATACACTGTATGCAAATTGACAAACTGCAAATGCGAATGCTTCCGCTTGGCATAGGCAACAACAATTTCAAGCACTTTGTCAAAATCCAATTTGTCGTGGCGACTGAGTGGCTCGATAATATTTTCGGCATTGGGCAGAAAAATGTGTGTGCTGTTGATGAGGTGCCACGTTATGATGTCATGGCGCGTTTCAGGCGCTGAACCACTGGGTACACCAAGTGGCCAACGGATTTCGAGTATGTTATTCGATATTGAACCGTTAGCTATCCGATATGATTTACGCTCCAAGTCAAAGCTGCGTTGTTGTATCGTTTCTAAATGGTACTACAAAAGAGAAATATTTAAACAAAATGCATACATACACCCCCACATACATGATTATACATGAGCGAAATTGTGTAGATGACGATTACCTTTGAGAAGTATGCATGTAAACGATATAAGTCATCCATTGATGTAACGGGATAAACCATTGTTGCATTTCGGAAAGCCTCGTCTCTGGCAAGGATATTTAAATCTTTAAACAATTTTACATGCGGCTGCAATGTGTAGATGTCTTCATGTACCCCCTGAAAAAGCAAAAAGGAAGTGATTTGCTGAATTATGTTAAAATCAAAGAGATAGTGAAATTATCAATAAAAAAAAACATAAAGTGTGTTCGTCTAAACGTGTAAACTAAAAAAATGTAAATTTAAGACCTATGGTCAGTGTTAAATGAACACACCTCACTCAAATAAAGCTAAGATCAAGTAATATAAAAAATTTCTTCGTCTTTAAAAAGGATATTTTCGGTAAAAATTAGGCAAAATTAAACATATTCAAACATTTTTAGCCGTAGTTTACCCTACGGTGCCTTGCCAAACATTTAAGAGTTTTTCGCTCTTCGAACTTAACTAGTTGTGATGAGATTTTTCTGTGAAAGAAAAATACTGCTTATAGAACTTTATCGTGTTACCAGAGTTATCGAAATCTGTCAATAACTTTCGGAAAATATCGAGCTATTAATTAACCGAATTATCGATATTTATAGAGGTATTCAATGTTTATAGATTTATATCGAGATACATATATACATTTTTGAGTAATCAAAATTTACTGAGCCCTCGAAACTCACAGTTATCCAAAATTGATCGTAATTAGTCGAGTTAACGAATTTTGTTGTGTTATCGAATTTTAGTGTTTTTGAAATTCATTGAATTGTCGAGATGACATTATCGAAATTTATCGACAACCGAATGTATCGGCTCAATTCCAAGTCCTGCCAAAGTCCTTCAAAGATATGACAAATTTTTGTCATGTTTTAGTTCCAAAGCAGGCGATTTTCCGATAAGTAGCTACTATGTACCTAATAAGTTAACCGACTGCTGAAAAGTGGTAAAAGGTGGTAAGCGTTAAATTTGGTATACAAATATCTATTTATTATGTATGTATATATTTACATACGTGAATATCTTGTATTGTATGATCGGACAAGGCATGTGTATCATTAAAATCATACATAAATTGAAAGTAACGCCAGTTATGCCTTTTATGTGTTTTTGTCTAACCTTGAATTAAATGTTATGCTTGAAACCTTTTAATTAAGCGCCAGATTTTTTAATGAATTCTAAGAATCCTTTTTTCG